ATATCCTTATCCTCTATTAATTGACAATTCCCAAACAAGCAGAATTGTCATGCTCACCAATCCTGATAAAGGCAGGCAGACTTCCTCTGTTGGCCAGGCAAGGTCAGTCTCTCTGGATCTTAGCTGCTGCATGTCACGGTTGTGCAGGAGAGTCCTGGCAGCTCTTATCTTAGGCTGGGTCTTGGAGGTAAGTTGTTCTTCTTGGTGTTCCTTGTCTCCCTTTGATTTTTTTCCAGCCTTTTGCTTCCTTCCTTCAGCTTTTGTTACTTCCAATCTTCTTCTTCTTGGACCTCAGTTTATATAATGAAACCTGAGTCTTGATTAGCTATACCGTAACCAATTATTTTAGTATCATTTTACTAACCAATCATAACAAAATGACCTAACCAATCATATCTCCTCACCTTAATTGATTTACACCTAACAAAATTAATTATACAACAGACTGAAACCTTTACAGATCAGACAGAAGTTTGATCACACAGTCAAATAATAGGAAAGTGTAATGACAATGATCATAGAATGAGGATTCTACAACATTCTCTATTGATAAACAGTTTCTTGCCAGACAGAATGGTGTGACTTAAGTTTTCTTTACCCATCTTGAGAACTGTTTCTTTATCTGGTGACAGTGGGGGAGCTATCAGGCCAAAGTCCCCTCCTCATAGCCTGGTGTGACACTCACATTCCATCTAAATTGTATTAAAAAGTATGTGACTCCAGGCCTTACAGTTAATGGCTGCTGCTTTTCAGTCTAGCTGCAGAAGGTGGCTTTGGTTCAGGCTTATCACAGGCCTTCCAACATGTCTACAGAAAAGTCATATTGTTACAATTGCACAAATTGGTACAGCTGAGAATTTTATATAGTTTCTATTGTACCTTATAAAATATTGTTACTATAAAAGCAGGTTAAAAGAATGTCTTAGGCAAGTATTAAACTTTTAATGTGACTGAGTTTGCATAAAATAATACAGATTCTTCTCCTCTATCAATGTTTAGATAGTGTTTCCTCAAACTAAAATCATTTTGAAGGAGAACAGTCTTAAGAGTCTCCCCTCTTCTGCCCCATTCCCGCCAAGAGATTTGACAGACATCACCGATGTCCTCTGGATACCAATATAAAGAATGAACATTTCCTGCTTCTAACTAGAAGCTTGCAGAAGCCTTGAAGGTTTCCAAATTCTTTCAAAAGAGCCTGTTCGGTCTCCAACACAAGAACACCCTTCATGGACAAAAATAGATGTAATGGCTTTGTACACAAGGGCATTACAGCACTATGTACTTAACTTCTGTTACCTACAAGAACTGAACTGCAATCAGATATCCTGTTTCATCTAGAAGCTATGCTAAGAGATTTAAACAACCTATCTTCTGAACTCAGGGATTTTACAGATTTGTGTTTAACACACTATTCTCCTGATGTCCTTGCAAACAAGTGAAGCAGACCAATGAGTAAAACCCTCTACTACATAAAAAAGCCATTGTAGTTTGTGTGTGTGTGTGTGTGTGTAGTTTGTGTGTGTGTGTGTGTAAAAAACAATAATTAAAAAAAATATTGTATTTGCATACATATAAAATACAGTATTTAAAAAGCATTGTTCTCTAGATGAGCGCTGTCTTATCTCTACTTTCTAAAGTTTATAGTTGGCATGCTAGAGCTATGGGATATAAACGTGGATTTAACCTGGAACTTGGGGTACAGGGTATCCATAATTCTGTGCTTAAAAATTAATTGAAATCCTGTCTTTTTAGACTGTTCAGCAGTGTTGCTGTTCAAACTGAGGGGTAGCCGTGTTAGTCTGAATCTTCAAAAGCAGTGAGGAGTCCTGTGTCATTTTATAGACTAACCGAAGTGTTGGATCATAACCTTTGTGGGCAAAGATCCACTTCGTCCGATGCATGTAGTAGAAATTTCCAGAGGCAGGTATAAATATGCAGGCCAGAATCAGGCTGGAGTTGATTAGGTGGATCCGATCAGGGAGGATGAGGCCCACTTCTAGTAGCTGATCTGGAGGTGTGACTATTAAGAGAGGAGAAGCTGCTTTTGTAGTTAGCTAGCCATTCACAGTCTTTGTTTAATCCTGAGTTGATTGTGTCAAACTTGAAGATGAACTGTAGCTCAGCAGTTTCTCTTTGAAGTCTGGTCCTGAAGTTTTTTTGCTGCAGGATGGCTACCTTTAGATCTGCAATTGTGTATCCAGGGAGACTGAAGTGTTCCCTTACAGGTTTTGGTATGTTGCCATTCCTAATATCTGATTTGTGTCCATTTAATCTTTTACATAGGGACTGTCCAGTTTGGAGCCCTACTCACTGCTGTAGAGGCTTTTAAGCCATCTCCCTCTAGCACCGGCTCCTGCCTGCTCCCTGGTCCCCGCTGCCTCTGTAGGAGGCAGTGGGGGTGGGTAGATGGGTCCATGGAGCCAGCATGCACAGGGAGCCTGCTTGAAAGTTGGCTTCCCGTGGGTATTGTCTCCAGCCTGTGCCACTCACTCACCACACTGCTGCCTCTCTATCAAAGGCAGTAGGGTGGGGGTGGGAAACCTGCTTAAAGCCAGCTCCTCATGGGCACTAACTCCTACTTTCCCCGTGCCCCGCCCCCCCTTGCTGCCTCTGATACAGAAGTGTGCTGCTTAACCCCAGTGCTGGCTCAACTGCAAACAGGACAATCAGCTGAACTGAGCAATGCCTGGGGTTTTCTGTGAAACTGTTTTGGACAATCATTAAAAGTAAGCAGCATGCGTGTTGCTTCAATATCTCCATTTCCCTGACAGAGGCTGATACAGAGGTAGCAAGGGTCAGGGAGTGAGTGCATGTAGTTGATAAGATTAACCAGTAAGCCAGTGCTTATTGGTTAATCATGTACTGAACTACACGTTCACATCCCTAGCTCTGGGACATTCTGGACAGCCGCCATGCGTTGGAGCTCTGAGACCCACCAGGCATCACCACTGCCATGTGCCGGGCGGCTTTGTCGTCGGCTTGCTGCAGGCAACCACTGTCCTGCTGGTTGTGCAGGGGTCCATGCTGCTGGCCCTCCACCGGGATTCTCTAGTCCTGCAACTTCTGTGCTGGACCAGAGGATCCCAGGTAAGAGAGTTTCAACCTGTACAAAATTGGAACCAGATTTATTTTTTTTCCACCAAGCCAAAGCCCTGGCCAAATTGAAACAGTACAAATAAAACTGAGTCAGGAACTAGTTATAATATGGTTTTGTCCTGGCCCTGTGTCAGGGGGTACGCCCCTGACGGGGGCTGCTGAAC